ATGCAGAGGTCTTCAGAAAGGAGGCAGGTCTGGTAGTCTGCATTTTAAGAGCCTCCATCTTGAAAACCTTATGAGGCAGTTCTAATCTGCAAGTGTAAGGTGGCCATGAACCGTATTCCGTCAACAGCAACTAAGAACAACCCTACAGAAAGCTTCTTTTTACTCCTGATACTTTATGTGTGGATTTTGCTGAGATGGGTGGTAGCAATAGAAATAGATTTTTTAAGAACTCAATCACAGCCATGCAAGGTAGAATTTAAAAGATCCATTTTTGAAGTCTGTGTAAAGGGTCCCCAAGACCTCCTTTATGATTCCCTGGAAGGAATCATAGAATTCAGAAGTTGTCATATTCACGATTTATTACAGAAAGGATTAGCAAAGAGAAAAGGCACTGTGTCTGGAGAAAAGCAAGTGCAAACTTTCAAATGCCCCTCCCAGTGGGGTCACGTGGAATTTGCTCAATTCCCTCAGCAAGGATATGGGGCAACATGTGCCAAGTTCCCAACCAGAGAAGCCTACCTTAGCCTGTAGTGTTTAGGCAGTTGGCTTCAGTTACTTAAGTTTCACACTCACAGAGGAAATAACCTAAAATCCTCTTGACACCATGCAAAAAGCAGGTGTTCTGTTCACCATAAATCAAATGATTAGCATAAATTGCCTGGTTAGACTGATACAGAGAGGCCCAAAGCGTATCTAACAGTATATGGCAAGAACTCAAAGCTCAGTTCTGAGGAATTGGGAGTATGCTTAGTTTGAGCAACCCAGAGCTGACAATGGAGTTAACCTTTCCAAAGTCTGTGCTCTGTCTACAAGTAATATTATACTATTATTGCTACTTAAAAAGTACTGGTTCCTTTAGGTCTGATATGGTATTTAGACTATGCTGGACCATATATTGTTTTCACCTCTTGTAATGACAGGTATATTTTTGAATGGAAAATACCACCTATCTTGATGAATATTTCTAATGAGGATTTTTAAAATTTTTCCTTTACATGAAGGTAAGGATTTTTTTTTAAAAGACTAAGTAATGGCACTAAGCATTTCTGGTACTTAGTTATTTTCAGCAAAATTTATTTTACTTTACATATTTATATATTAAAAACTAGTGTCCATGAGGAATAGTCTATAATTGTTCCTTTCAGACTTTCCACAATTTAAAAAAATTTTAATAGAGGGTAATGTGATAATAGAACCAGAAAGATCTTAATTCATAATTATGGCCTGCTTGATAGATAATAGAGTTAAATGAAGTTATACAATTCTCAAACGATTTTAACCTTTTTTCTTTACCTTTTCCATAGGTATTCGTGGAAACATTAGACAAGTGTTTTGAAAATGTCTGTGAACTGGATTTAATTTTCCATGTAGATAAGGTACTATTTCTATATTGTCATATCTTCTAAACTTTTTATGTAAGAAAAAAATCCACTAAATTATAATTGTCAATTTATGTTAATATCATTTTTATTTATTATTCAAGTTGTAAATTATTTTTATGTGACCCAAGCACTATGCTTATTAGAGAAAATTTAGGACATCCACTAGCGTGGTTTAAAATTAAGAACATATATTTCTCACACCCAGTTCTCTAGATCCTATTTCTCATTTACTAAGTGACTTGGTTTCATGTAGTAACTGATTTTAGACAAAGAACTTAAACTTGATATTTTTAGGAGTCTTGTTTTTAGTATTGTATTGATTTTATGTAACAAATAAGAGTTAAGCTTTTTTACACATGTGAAGGTTTATTTGTGGGCATTAGTGTTCTTGATACTCGAAAATGATACTTTGGCACATGAAAAAAATTAAACACCTCTTTAAAAAATTACTGCCCAAGGGTTATTAGCTTATACAAGGGAATTTCAAAAA